AAATTAATTTTCTCGGATTTTCTGAAAATCTTTTGTATTATATCAGGTTTTATTTATTTTTTTTTTCAATTTATTTCGGGGAGAAGGAGGACAACCTCCCCAACTTGCCTTCCATACGTACGCCCATGGTAACATTAGTATACATGTAAACCATATATGTACCTATTTAGAAAATCAATAAACTTAATTATATAGATATATTTTCCTATATTTAATTTTTGTAAAAATAAATATGATTTTTTGTTACACATATTCTCAAAATACCGGATACGTCAACAGTTATGCTTTGTCATCTGAAAAAATTATAATAGGTAGGAAAAAACCGGTTAATAAAAAAAAAGAAAAGAAATAATAACCTACGTGGCCTCTCATAATTGACGAGAAGTATTTAAAAAGGTGATATTAGAGTTGCAAAAATCTTACGTTAGTTCAACAAACAGTTTATGTATATATATTTTTTTTTGCCCAAAAAATCCGGAATGTTAATAATTTGATGAATAAAATAGCGATAACTAAAAACCTATTGAAGTTAGGTAATTTACAATAACTGCTTAGTAAACTATACAATTTTTTTGTACTTTTATGTTAAAAATGACTAGTTCATGATAGAACCTACAATGAATTATTTGTATTATTTCAGATGCTGAAGAAGGGGTCAGAGATTCCCCGAAACGTTCATTAATAAATAATAATAAAAACCAAGCGTGATTATTAGATTAATTTATACACAAATAATTGAGAAAAAGTAATATCTTATAGTTCATGTAAAGATAACATCAAATGTATTTTAACTGGAATTGGTACACCTTCATCCTCTTCAACATGGCATTGACTACTGCAAAAATGTTCTGAATAAATTAATTAGAATTAGATAAGGTCATTTGGTTTGTTATGTAATAAAATAAATTTGATTCAATAGTTAGATAGATCTTTTATATTTGAGATCTGTTTAAAAAAAAAATACAACTAATAAAGGGACGTATTGACGGTTATCGTGGGGCATTGTTCAAGAACTGGTTTAAGTGACACAAAAAAACTTTCAGTAGCTTAGAACAAGTTCTTACATACAATGAATAATCAATTACTTTGTTTGGACTTAAAGAATGTGTAAAAATGTAATTATTAAGAGAAATTTAAAAAAAATCTTACTAAAAAAATACTATCGATTACACTGGGTAGTAAAGGAACTAATAAAAATCATTCACCTAAAAATTACATAATAAAGGCACAATACAAAATGTTACGGAAATAACAATGATTTTGTTTTTGTATTGATAGATTACAACTTTTGTATCTCCCCATCATGCATCATTTGTATGAGAGTTATCTGTTAATCTGTTTAAGGAAAGAATTTATCAGTTTGAGAAAACAATTTGTAACGAACCTAGACCTATCGTTTTTCATTAAACATTATGTAACAATGGGACAAGCTACAATTAGGCATCATTAAGAAAAAAAAAACACCAAAAAAGTATGAGTAATATTAGAAAACCCGCATACTAAAACTATTTATATATTAACTTTCACTCTTTAATCAGGAGAAAGTCCCGAAATTGTAAAGTAAAAATGCAATGCGCTAAGCAGGCTAATTGCGTACTAGAAAATAAATCTCGGTGAATGTTCATATTCTAGTGTTGCCCAAATGCGAGACTGAGACGAGTCTTGGTCTTGCAAACTCAGTCTTGGTCTAGGTTTTGCTCTTCCGCAAGACTCTTGTAACAGTCTCGTATTTACCTATTAGGTTATTACTAGAGAGATATTGCTGTAATTTTTTTGATATGAGTAACCTAACTAAGTCTAAATGAAAAATTATAAGAGTTAAATGCAAAAATGTATTGGTTACACCAATTCTTTACATATAGTAACTAAAATTGTCAAGTATTATTAACCATTTTGCCACAATTTTTATTCAAAAAATCGATTTTTTATATCAGTCTTGGTCTTGGTCTTGGTCTTGCAACAGATAGGCGGTGTTGGTCTTGGTCTTGCTAAATCTAAGACCAAGACCGATTTTGGGAAACACTATCACACTTCGATTCTTTCCATTTTGCTTTCAAATAATATGGAATTTACATTTGTGACATTCAGGACAAAGGTTTTTTTTTTTTTTTTTTGTGTGTATTTTAAAAGCGTCAACCACCAGTCATTATCGTCTCACAAAAGGCCTGCTGAGGATGTAACCAAAGGTCATGGAGCACTCGAAAAGAGGAAAATCTAAAGCGATATAGAATGTTCAGATAGTTTGGTCGATTTAATCATTAAAGGACGTTACAATGTTTGTCGAGTAAATAATTTTTGAGTTTTTTATATATTATTATTATTATTATATATATATATATATATATATATATATATTATATATATATATATATATATATATATATATATATATATATATATATTATAGTTACTTATATATATGTAAGTCCGGAATATTTTTAACCTTATTAATCATTGATGTATTGTAGGTGAGGGATGAGTTATGGTTTGTACATAGGTGAGTAAGGTTGTTTTATGTCCTTTTGATGACTAAATACGCGAAACTTCGACGTGTTAGCTTGTTTACCTACTTTTGCATATTTGTTTAATTTGTTCCTATGATATCTTGACATTTAATTTATATTTATTTTTTAATATTTTCTCTGTTATATTGTCATAATATTTCTATTAAGCTGTAAAATCTTTAATAATTTATTATTACTATTTGTTCCTCCGTAAGGATGCGATTTCGCACCAAACCACATTTGTTCTGCTTATTGTATACTTGATGGTTGACCGTGGTATATTATTGAATAATGGATGGTCCGGGGTAACGACAATAAAAATACTAAAATGGTGAAAAAAATATTTTATTTCAAGCTAACGTTTTGAACCGACTTTGCAGGTCTTCTTCAGTAAGTGTACGCAGTATGAAATTTCAGTTGAAAGAAGACCTGCAAAGTCGGGTCAAAACGTTGGCTTTAAATAAAATAGTTTTTTTCTCACTATTTTAGTATTTTTATGACCCTCACCCCGGACCATCTCCTTACTCAATTGATCTGCTTATGTTTGAATTTTCTGAACGTCAAAGCGTGTGTCATTATTGCAGTGTAATGGAATAAAAGATGGACTAATTTGTGAAGACAAAACACCAATGAACATGCTACATGAGAAAATTGTTAAGTTCAAGGATAAAGGCTGTCGCAAGAATTCTCACATAAAGGATTTGCATGTTTTTCAATACCACTGCTGATTGTCTAGTCATATCGTCGATACAAATGCTATCGAATATCAAAATATGAAATATTTTCAATCCACCACTCTAGCGATTGTAATTATAATTAAATGGTGACAACAAAAAGCTTGAAACATTCATAAAAGCAGATATAAGTGTGGAAATTAAAACATCCTCGTTGTTAAGGCTGAATTTATAATAATATTAGAGTGCTGAATTTCAGATTCGATAGTTAGGATTTGTAACTACGGTATATATTGTTAACAGATTAAATATATAATTAAAATTATTTAACAGACAATCAAAAACTACACCAAACCACTAGAATATTCGTGCAGAGAGGGGATTTCGCAAAAATAATTTTTTTTCGGTCCATATTTGTTTCAATGAGTGACCTGAGAATCTTAGGCAAAGAAGGAGTACAATTTTCTCCTCGAAACAAAAGTTCTTCAGCTACTAAATATATGCAAGTGTCAAGATAAAATATAAAAATCAAATCCCTAATAAAAGTATTATTATTATTTTTTTAAATTGGCGCCAGACCTTTTGAATCCTTATACTGAAGTATTGTTGTTCATGTAATATGTATTTACCAATATGAAAAAAAAAAAGAAAAAAAAAATGGTAGTCCCAAAATTAAATCCAGAAACCGTAACTGTACAAAACTGTTGAAATTAGTTTTAAAATAAACATAATGTCCGAGAAATAGTATTACTTATTCCTAAATACTGCCAGGATAAAAAGATAAAGTTAAAATTAACAACTTTATAATGATTATAAATGATATTTTATAAAAAGCACAAAATAATTCAAGTTAGTTGGAGACTTTAACGTCAGAGCAAAAGAAACCTTGAAACTCGATTTGTTATTAAACAACAAATATTACATCGTCAAACAAACAAATAGCCAATACCCTAGAGCGTTTTACAAACAATCATCTTAAAAATGTAACCACAAGTTTTAACTTTTTATAAAAAACAAAATAACACCAGATTTTGATAACCCCGGATAGTAGTTGAACTTGTTGCTTATCTATAGAGTTATCAGTTTATTAAACTTTGTAATGATAAAACTAAACAAAAAATAAATGACTAATAAAATCTTTAAACATTATTGCTTTAAAATTTTTTTTTATTAATTTATGTTATTTTAGATATTTAAAACGTGAACTGCGTTTCGTAAGACAGAAGAGTGGTGCAACGCCACCTACACCTACCACAACATATTATTAGTTATTCATTTTATACTCTAGCTAAAAATAACAATAACACTTTATTTATAGATAAATAATAAATTAATAAAATTTCCGACAAAAAAAAAAGGCTTTTAGTCGCTTATAATAAAATCAAATAGACAAGATCGATTATTTTTACAAATCTAAAAGTTTTTACAGAATTAATGCGAATCTGTAAAAAAAAAACAAAAAACACAGTTAATGGTTCAAAAGAAGTTAATAAATTATTTAAGCAAACAAGCGTGATTGTCATGGAAGTGTCAAAACAAGAGTAACCATAATTATACCATCCATCTATATATATATTGTATAAATATATTTTATTTATATAAATGGACATAGCTGAGTTTACATTTTGTCAATATTAAGTTGTTAATATATATTTTTTGTTTATTTATTTTTAAAATACTAGTTTTGACTAAAAACTTAATATTGTAACCGTCCAAAGTTATAATATTATAAAAATAAATTATTACATTTTATCAATAAATATCATTAATGAATAATAACTAATGTAGAAAATAAAATAAACAAATAATCCCAACAACATACCTCTAAACAAGTCGGTTGCCAAACCTCAACTGAGCTCGCTCCTGCTCTTCGATGTATTATACCTCCCAAGAATCGATTCTTGGTAAATCGGTGGGGCAGCTGTGACGTCATCTTGAACCTTCTCCGGTTACTCAGGAGTGTTAGTCATAACTTCTGGGAAGTGAAAGAGGTTGATAACCCAACAACAGAGCAAAGTTTTGATTAAAAAAAAAAATTATTCGTCCCAGGAATGATTTCTTTTTTTTCAAATTAATTATCGCTACATATATATATATATATATATATATATATATATATATATATATATATATATATATATATATATATATATATATACATATGAAAAAAAAAGCTTTCGAGCTGAACCCCTCCTTCCCTCCCCAAAAAAAAATTAAATCCTGGATCCACTAGTGGAGATCATCGATATACGATAATACCTATATTTCAATAAAAATATTGATGTATTTTTATCAGGGATATTAAAATTTGACCATCGAAAACAGATATTTAAAAAAATAAAATAAATAGACAAACAAAAAATTAAATTGAAAATATCATCTTGAACCTTTTCCGGTTCAGGAGTGTTAGTGATAGCTTCTGGGAAGTGAAAGAGGTTGATAAACCAACAACAGAAATATTTCTGATTTAAAAAAAAACAAAACATTTATTCGTTCCAGGAATAAGTTGCCGAAAATATTAATTAAATATGCTGTGAAAAAAATATTATGAGATGATTTTTCAGTTTTACTACTGAGGAATTGTTAATTTTGTTCTCGTTAATCGCTTATCTACTCTCCGATGGAAGGGCCTCTGGTTAGGGATGTTAGCAGATCATCGATATATGGAAATACCTATATTTCAATAAAAATATTGATGTCTTTTTATCAGGAATATTAAAATTTGAAAATTGAAAACAGAATTAAAAAAAAAAAAGAATGTTAAATAGATAAATAAAAAACTAAATTAAAAATATTAACGATTAAAGCTGCGTTTCTGATGAACATATCAAAATGATAATATTTTAAAACAAAATACTGTTGTAATTTTTGATTACTTGTTTTCTATCTAATTGTTAGTTATATGTTGTTGTTTTTGTCCTTTTGTTTTATAATGAAAGTGTTAATAAGTTTTTCAGTTTTCAATTTTTTTTTATTTACTTTTTTTTTCATTTACTTCACAGGCTGATCTACGGGGGGGGGGAGGCTTTCGGGTTGAAGCCCTCCCCCTTCCAAACGGTAAAATGTAACCATGTTTTACAGACAAAAATATTAAAAACTATCTCTCAAAGTATTCTTGTTCGTGTAATTCGTGTAACATTTAATAGGACTTTAAGAACCACTTAAATACCATTTCATATTAGTACTTAATTTCTCTCTTTTTTTCTAATTAATTATTGTTATATGTAGATGAAAAAAAATCTTTCGGGCTGAAGCCTCCCTTCCAAAAATTAAATCCTGAATCCGCTAGTGATTTACTTGTATGTTTATTTGTTAATAAATGCTTTTAACAATAAGCATTAATGCTTTTATAGATTTTTTTTTTATAGACTTTTTTTCTTTTTTTTGGATATATTTACCATATCCTTTGGTTGTAATAAGCAATATGTAAATATTTATTTATTGCTATTAAAATATTTCAAATCTAAGACTTCAATTTAATGTTGATCTCCTTCATCTTCTTTCAATGATTACAAACATAAAGGCTCAAAATATCGACATATTTGTTTCATTTTTCTATAGATATCTATATAAATTGTACATACATACATATTCGGTGCAACAACCTGCTAGGGAATCTAAACTTCCCCGAGCAGCCTTCGTCACCGTCTTGTGCTGCAGCAAGTTACAGGGGTGCCCATCCTCCCTCCACCCTGAGGTCGATGGCGCAAGAATCTCCCCCTCTTCCTCCTCCTCCCAAGATATCTTATTGTTCACTGTTTCTTAAAAACAGAGCTAGCTAAGGCCAAATTATCAAAATCGTAGATCATATACAATTACACTTGCTTCTGTCTGTTCCACGTTTCCCCTTGTTTCTTAATCCGAAAATTCATAACACCATAGAAATTTTCCCCCTCGAAAACTTTGATGGCGCAAATTGCGACATGAAACCCTCTTCTGAGCATCCCTGGCAAATACCTTGCATCGACTTCCACACCGTTTGGCCATCTTGTTCGGTGTACCTCTTCTGTCAATACCTTCCTTGGGATCTGGGAGTCACCCATTCGGCCACATGACCGGCCCAACGGCATCGTCCCAGTTTTATAACCCGTACGATGTCGGCATCCTTAAAGGCATTATAGAGCTCTATGTTTGTTTCTTTTCCTCTAGACCTCTCTCTTGTTCACTGCTCCAAATATTCTCCTAATTACCTGCCTCTCAAGAAAGTGTCTCTTAAAATGTAGTGGAAGCATCTATTAGCAGCATTAATTCGCCTATTGATGCCTGGTGATACATCGTTCCTGGAGTTTATCTCTGATCATAGATACACAAAAGTTTCTGTGCTCTCTAGAACACCAGGGGACAATGCCTAGGAATGCGATATGGTCTTTTCTTTGAACAAATTCAAGGTTATCAAGGAATGTCAAAGATTTGGAGACTTTAATAACTCTATTAAAGTTATTCATATATCATTTATTTTATGTATTTTTGTAAATAGTACATTTTCTGGTATAAAAATTATAATATTTAATTAAATTAACGTTTTTATAATGTTCCTGATAATGAATAAAGATCACTCTTTTCTTTACCGTATTAGCTTGAAGAAGTTATCATTAAAATTAATTGTTCATCTTTATACCACCTTGCAAAAACACATTGGCCGTCAGCTACTTTGGCATATTAGTGTAATTACATTAAAAAATTGTTTATTTTAATTATAAGGTTGAGCATTAAGTGGGAAAATAAATTATTATTATTATTTTTATTAATAACTGTATTAATGGTATCTACTGAAACTAGCATATAATGAAAAATATACTATCAGAAGGAAAACGTTTTTGAAAAATAATCTTAATCTGTTCAAATGTATTCTTAGAATCGAGCCATTAATAATACAAATTTCAGATAAAAATAAAAAAGCGTTTTCGTCACGCAAAGGAGAAAAATAAATAAAACTCTAATGGGCTGGTTGTTTGTTATATAGTAAAGACGTAAAACCTGTTGGCTATCAATACCGTTAATTAAGATTATATATAATTATATCTTCTGTTTGTGAATAATAGGAATAAATGCACATTAAGTTTGAAGTTATTTAAGGTTATTAAAGTTTAGTTATTTAAAGTTATTAAAGTTAGCATGTAGGTGGGAGTGCTGCGTGAGAGGTTCAGCGATTTTTAAAGATTCCTTCTTCAGAGAGAAAACTTATGATTTTACTCAAGAATTTTTCATAATTTCCCAATGCATTATTGGCTGGTATTCCTCTTTTGTTTAATTATCTGATGTAAAAGGCACAACTATCATATGGACCACTTTCATTCTCTCTCCACACTTCCGTACGCGTTACCTCCTTAATGGCATATTCTAATCCTAAACTTATCAGGACAGGTGAAAGAGAATCACCTTGTTTCAAACCCGAGCGAACCACAAATTTTTTGGATAAATAATTACCGATTCTAACTTTATTAAATGTTTCCGTTAAGCACATCCTAACTCAATTTACTATTTTTTTTTTTTTTGGAATCCCCCACTCGATTAGAATATTATGCAGCTTCTGGCGGTCAATTGTCAATAGTCAAATATTAAAAAATATGATGTAGAGATTCAGAGATAGAGTTCAGATGTAGAGTTCTCCTTTATTTTCTATTTTTATTCATACTTATTTTCCATTTTTGTTTGTATCTTATACATATAATACTTGATATTTTAACTACATTGTCACCCACTATGTCTCTGATATTATCTTTTTATTTCTGTATCAGACGACTTATTCTTATTTTATTTTCACCATGTTTTGTATCTTTTGTAGCCCTGATGAAGACCTGCAAAGTGGGTCGAAACGTCGGCAAAAATTAAATAATGCTACTTGTTTAATTTAGTATTAATTTGACCGCACCCCCTCCCCCCTCTCCCTCCTGATCAACTCCTTCTCATATTAAAATGTATATATAAAAAAACTAAAGCCCTCCCCGAATGAAATCCTGGATCCACTACTGCTATTAAAATACATGATAAAATAAAGGAGAAAGGAGATAGATGGAAAAATCGTCACCATTTAGAAATCTTAATATATATTCGCCCGGGAATTTTTTGCACTGCCGTTCACAAAATGCCGGGTTTTCTTTTATCCCTGTTTGGTAAAAATCAGAATTTAATTTATTTAGAATTAAAATAACAAGGACCAATTATATAGATAATATATTTATTGGTTTAAATACAATATAACTATAGGAGTCTGGCCCAATTGTTGTAAGTTTAACAGTAATCAATTATTTTCTGTAATATACAAATAAAGAATTTTCGTCATTTGTCTGTTAGTGATTGTTTATGAAATGATGAATTCTCAACATACGGACGAATGTGTGTTAAGGTGGGTTGGAACTGAAAGGGAGAGTCACTGCAAGTCAAAATTTAAAGCGTCAAATTCCAAACAAAAGTTTATTTTTAGGTAAACAAATATTTATTTCTCTTTTTATTTTGGGCTTAATTCAGTTAATGACGTGAGACGATTATATTTATTTCGTAATACTTCTATAAAATCATTGATGTTGGAAGGCTTGAAGATTGACATGTCAGAAAAGGCGTCAAAATTAAACTCTCTCCCTCCTCCACCAGAAATAATTCTAGTTCCGGTTATGTTTAGAGGACTAAATGAACGCCAAAATGTCAAACCTGATGAAATGGACATCAGAAGATTATCTCTATTCCATGTCGATATTACCAATACAGAATAAATAGGATAATATGAAAAATTTAACTAATTTTAAATCAGATGGATAAAGAACTGGTAGATTTCAAGAATTTGATCCGATTGCAGTAGTCTTGATATATAGAAAAAGCTGTTTGCAATCTATAGCAACTGCCAAAATAGAATATATTTTCTGAGGAACAAGAGAAGATAAGTCAAGTGAAGTGTAGACTAGCTGTTATATTAGAAAGAAAGTAGACATGAAACCTCACTTATCCTGCCCAGCCAATAGGCAGATCCTTGACTTCACTCAACTCAATGTTTT